AGTGGTCAACATCATCTTTCAAATCTGAAGTTGACATATGGTCATCACTCTCCTTTTCCTCCTCACCACTGCCAGCCTCTAACATCTCATCCAGTTGCTGCAAGTCATCTGGAGTAAGTTCCTGCTCATGAGACATCACAAGCTCTTCTACATCATCATCCTCCACTTCAAGGCCCAATGACTGACCAATGGACACAATCTCCTGGTGCAACTCTGTTTCATCCTGAGATCCCTCAAAATCATAGACTACTGATGACCACAGTGCTTTCCATGAAGGATTGAGGGTTCTAGTGGAGACGTCTTGCCATGAGGACACAATCAATTTTACAGCCTCCAGGAGGTTAAACTGTGTCTTCCAGAACTGTGCCAGTGTTAGTTCAGGATCAGTGGAAGTTGCCTGATGACACCTCCTGAACATTTTCTTCATGTACAACTTCCTGAAGTGTCTGATCACATTCTGGTCCATTGGCTGTAAGATTGATGTAGTGTTGGGAGGCAAAAACAACACTTTCACAAAGTCAAATTGATATTCCAAAGTTCTGGCAAGTTGAGGGTCATGACCAGGGGCATTATCCATGAGGAGAAGAGCCTTTAAAGGGAGTTTATTGGTGGTTAGGTAGCTCTTCACAGAAGGGCAAAACACCTCAACAGCCCATTCATTAATGAGCTGTCTTGTTACCCATGCCTTACGGTTGGGTTTCCAATAAACTCATGGCTGTCCTCTTACCACTTTCTGTTGCTTGAACACCCTGGGGTTCTCAGAGTGGTAGACAAGCATAGGCTTCAGTCGGAAATCCCCTGAAACATTGGCACCAAGCAATAGAGTGAAACGGTCTTTCATGGGTTTATACCCAGGTAAAGAGGCTTCATCTCTGGTGATGAATGTTCTTTTGGGCATCTTTTTCCAGAACAGCCCAGTTTCGTCCACATTGAACACTCGCTGTGGAAGATAATTTTCTGTTTCCATCAGTTCTTTAAATGCCCCTTCCTTATCAGCACTGGCAGCCTCACCATGCCTAACTATACTAAATATGTCACTTCTTTTCTTAAATTGTTCGAACCAGTCTTTACTGGCCCTAAAATGTTCAAATTCTGTCCCTGAAGAACCAGGTTGATCTGTCTTTAAATGTTCGTAAATCTCCCTGGCTCTTTCACAAATAAATTCAGTAGAAACTGAATCACCTTTCATCTGTTTTTCTCTAATCCAAATGAGAAGTAACCTCTCTGTTTCTGCAATTAGGGATTTACCTTTGAACACTCTGGTAGATTTGTCTCTCACATTCACTTCCTTGAATTTGTCTTTCTGTGCAAGAATTGTCGACACAGATGATGTCGACATGCCATATTCTTTGCTTAGCACATTTGTTCTAATGCCTTCTTCATGTTTCTTAATTATTTCCTGTTTCATCTGAATTGAAATCGCTTTTCTAGATTTCTTGGGACCCATGCTGGATTCAAACGCAATCTCAACACGTGATATTTTAAGTCTAATTGCTGTAAATACAGTAAAGAATATTTTCTTTAAATTAACACTGCACTGCACTATATATCATCAATATGTAAAATACATTTCAAAATGACCAATAATTTGACTGAAAACACAGAAAAAAAGCATTTATGTTGAAGAGAGTCTGAAGCAAGATGTTACCTCCACTGAAAAGATACAGAGAGTGACGCCCTTTTAGTGTGCTGACAGGCTGTTTGGCTCGCATAAAACTAGTTTCCTGTCCTTCAATTATGTTCAATAATTGTTAAAATGACTAAAAAATTTAATATAAACCTTTTAAAATTATTGAATAGTACAACCTTCTTGATATTTACTAAAATGGTAAGGAATTTAAGCCCTAGAACCGATTACTGTATTGCCAGACTAATACGACAGCTAGTGTGCAAGCGAAAACATGTTGGGAGCCGCTCGTAAGGAATTCGTTAATCGAGGGAATGCTCGTTAACCGAAGTTCAGAATCTTATGGAAGGCAATTCGTTAACCAAAATCTCGTTAACCAAGGTGCTCGTTAACCGAGGGATCACTGTATACTGTATTTATGTCCTTTAGATTGAGTTTTTGTGTTTTGCTTATAAATTGACATAGAAGTGACCAGGGAGAATATAATTTACATTGCTGGAATTCTTATAAGATAGTGATTAATTTGAATGTAAACATGCTATAGTTTGCACAAGACAAAAATTTTAGTAATCATTTTGTACATTATTTTGATTACATGTGCAGTAGGGGGCAGGGAAAAAACACTTTTATTTGAGTTGCAGGCTGCACTTTTCAGGCATCGTTTTTATGGCTGTAACAAACACCTGTGCAAAATTTCATGCCATTTCATGCATACTTACCCTGCCGCATCGCGAATGACTTTTTGTCAACTTTTAGTGTACAGTTGTACCCCACTTAACGCGGTCAATTGAACCCAGAGGGTCCCGCGTTAAGTGAAATCCGCGTTAAGTGAACAACAGAACATATGGGATTAATTCCAATAGAAACCGGCCCGACCCCCAAACTCCACTTTTTGAAGGCACATACCTATGTTGTAGTAAAAATAACATCTTAATTTTATGATGGTACATGCACACAATTAATACTTAAGAGAAATAGAGAAATACAGTCGCCAAGTTAATGTCCATTCAAATAATGGACTCAACTCCCTCCCCCTCTCACACTACACAGCCGGCTAACAGATGGTCGGTCGGTCCCTCCCTCCCCCCCCACCCCCCACCAACCGTCCCAAGGAGATGTGTGGGATAACCTCAAACTAAAGTTAGGAAAATATAATTGACATTGCTGGATTCCTTGTAAGACCAGGAATATTTTGAATATAAATTCATATATTTTGGACAAAAGATAACATAGTTACTTAGAGAAAATTTTTATCTAAAAATTGTAAGTTTAAAGCAAAATATATGATGTTTATATTCAAAATGATCACCAAATTATAAGAATTCCAGCAATGTAAATTATATTCTGACCGGGTAATTTGTATGAATTTTATGAGCTAAAACAAATATCTTCAGTTAATAAAAAAAAAATAATCTTCACGACACTATCTGTCAATCAAAGTACCCCACCTTGCCTCCCCCCCTCTTCCAACCGCGCGGTCAGTCCCAACCCTCCCCCCCACCCCCCACCAATCCTCCCTTCCAGAGTTTTTAACATTTAGTATTAAATAATACCTCAGATTAAAGTTAGGATAATATAATTGACATTGCTGGATTCCTTGTAAGACCAGGAATATTTTGAATATAAATGTCATATATTTTGCACAAAAGATACCATAGTTACCTAGAGAAAAATTTTTATCTAAAAATTGTAAGTTTAAAGCAAAATATATGATGTTTATATTCAAAATGATCACCAAATTATAAGAATTCCAGCAATGTAAATTATATTCTGACCGGGTAATTTGTATGAATTTTATGAGCTAAAACAAATATCTTCAGTTAATAAAAAAAAATAATAATTCTTCACACGGTAACAGATGGTCGGTTGGTCCCTCCCTCCCCCCCACCCCCCACCAACCGTCCCAAGGAGATGTGTGGGATAACCACTAAATTTTAATAAATAATACCTCAAACTAAAGTTAGGATAATATAATTGACATTGCTGGATTCCTTGTAAGACCAGGAATATTTTGAATATAAATGTCATATATTTTGCACAAAAGATACCATAGTTACCTAGAGAAAAATTTTTATCTAAAAATTTTAAGTTTAAAGCAAAATATATGATGTTTATATTCAAAATGATCACCAAATTATAAGAATTCCAGCAATGTAAATTATATTCTGGCCTGGTAATTTGTATGAATTTTATGAGCTAAAACAGGCAGTCAGGCAGGGTGGCGGGTGGGGCAAATCTAAAAATAGCGTCTCGGACACTCACCGCGTATATGTGGATAAAACCGCGTTAAGTGAAAGTTCAGCTTTGGCAAGGCACCGCGTATATGCGAAAACGCGTTAAGTGAAAGCGCGTTAAGCGGGGTAAAACTGTATACCAAAAATTAGGTGTCATTTAATGTTTTCCAGGATAATGATAAATTTTACATGGGTGACATCGATTTAATTCACATGTTATTTTACAGGTACACCGTATAGAAAATCATTACAAGTTCATAATGAAATTCTTTTTTGTGCGGAACCTTGGCATCATTTTCCTAGACAATAATCTTTGCCTAATATATCCATCTCTCGATTCGTAACCCGTCACTTCAGTGCAAGCTTCAGTCATCACTTTTATGCCTCTCTCGACTGCCTGAGTGCTGTTTGGCCACTTGGGCACCACTAATGGTGTCTCAAGAGTGTCATTAACCTGTAGATTTGACAGAGAAGCAATGTAAGGAGGCTCAGTCTTGAGTTCATTCCTCCAGTTAATCATGGAATGATAGTTTTTTGCTTGCCACTTTAGTTTCGGAGTCACCACCTTTCTCATGTTGACTACAGGAGGCACATCCTCATTCCCATCTCCATCTTTACCCTCCTCATCAGTATAGTTTAACAAATTCTCGTCAACAGCAGCATCAGAATCTTCCTCCTCCTCTTCAGATCTGCCAGTGCATTCTTCCTTTTGCTGATTCTCCTCTCTAATTTTTCTTATCATTGAGACAGCTTTTTCTCTAACAGTCATGTCCTCATCTGCACACATACCAAGAAGAAGTTGATCTGTGTGGGCGAAGTATGCATTTCTCTGGACAGCCTTCTTCACTATCGTCTCCTCCTCACTATTCAGGTGTTTCATATATAGCAGGGACTGGAATACGTTCCTTGAGCCGTGTGTTACGTAAGGGTGTATCTTGATGTAAAACCACATTGGAGCACTGATCTTTATTATTGTAATGACAATTCTTTTCAACTCATGGCTGGGTCTTGATGTTGCTACATACAGCCTGAGGATTCTACTCCATAAGGTGTTCTACCTTGACACACAGGGAGGACCTGGCTCAATAGCAGCCAAGTCATCTTCAACAACACCTGTGATAACTCCTTTACAAATCCTATACAGGTATTTCTGATCCCAGGACAGATCTTTCTCCACTTCATCATTAAACACAGGATAAACAATCCTTAAGCGCTAAGTTGAATTATGACTAAATTGGATACTACAGTACTTGTCTATAACCTCACACATGTTACAGCAAACCTTATAAGAGAATAAAATTTACTTACCAGCATCAAAATCAATTTTCCCCCACTCTAATCAAGACGTGCGGCGTCTCAGAATGACTGCTTATGGGTGACTGAGGAAGCACGTGGTGATCCTGCGGTGTGAACTGCTGAACGGTAACTATTTGAATAATTTCAAGTGCACCAACTTACCCAGGTCTCCCCCACATTACAGTACAGTAACACAACATTGAGAAATGAAATGAGAAAAGGCTGATAATCAATACAGACATAGCACCATACTCATCTGCAACAAGACAACTTAAATGAAATAAGAGATATGAAAAAAAAGTTGATAAACACTGAACAGAACATTGCACCGCCACAGCGGCTGTTTGGCTAGTACTGTAGGTAAATTTAAAAATTTCAGTAGAAAATGCGGCAGACTAAACCTCGACATATCAGCTTCAAATTTGGCATGGAGTCTTAGATATGTATAAGGAACAATGCCTGAAGAGTGCAGCTTTGAGCAAAATTTCATTGCCCCCTAATGTGCAGTATAGCTTTGCCTTTTGGACAGTGTGTGCATGTAAATGAGTTTCAATAAATTATTAAAGTTACATATATCGAGCCAAAAAAAATAGTTTAAAAACTTTATGTAGACAGAGCCTGGATGGCTAAATTTTAGAATGACCAATAATTTTAATACTATAAAAAATACACAAATATTAAAGAGCACAATTTTCTTGACATTTACGCCACTGGAAACGAATGTAAACAGAACTTTTTACTGAACTGGCAGACTAGCCCATCAGCTGATCAGCTGATGCTCACAGCAAAACGTGTTTATTGTAAAGGTTTCGTGAATCGAAGTTTTGTTTGTTAACCGAATTGAAGATCCTTATGGGAGGTAATTCGTTAATCAAACCGTTCGTTAACCAAGGGACCACTGTACATGGCTGCCAAACTAACCAAAAGTACTGTACTGTGACAGTACTGGTAGCCAGTACGCTCGGCAATACTAAACTAAACCAGGATTTAAATGCCATGCAGCACTTTAAACTGGGCAAGTTGCCACTTTTACAAGTATTTCTTGTTTTCTTAGGTCATTTTGGTGTGTTTGGGCAATAAAACAAAATTTTTATTTTTCCCGACCAGGTAGGCTACCATGTACTTTTACAGGTTAATCCTCATAGGGGTTAATAGCTGGCAGAATTCATTTTCAGAGTTTATAGCATCAGTTCTTGTAGTGGTGGTCACAGCCAAGACACGTTGGTGTGAGTCTCGTGTGTTGCTATAAATTATGTCTAGGATATTACCTATAATGTTTATATGTTTATAGAAAGTACGTACAATACAGTGATCTTTTTCACTCAAATCCTAATGAAACACTAATGAATTAGAATACGGTAGTTGGTGTAAACAGTCGGAACAATTCCACCACCGATTGTCTCTCGTGAAGCAAGCTTATAAATTAAAGAAAATACTTGCAGTGTGTTTAATATATTACAGTATATTATCAATAAATAAATAAACAAATAAATCAGTAAATCCATTTCAAGTACCTTGTAAATGGAAAAATTTTACTCAACACCGACATTAATTCCAGTTAAATAACAGACGCTTAAGTGATGTCACTAGTGTTTACACTACACCAACCGGTAACATTTGATGCCATTACTTGAAGTGAATTGGCCTTATTTTAAAAAACCAAGGATGTGTAAACAGCACTGGTCAATGGGATGGTTGGTAAAGGACTACTGGGTCAGTAAGCTCCCAATGGTAAGTGTCACATTTGGGGTACCGGTCTTATACAGCGAATAGAGCTCAAAACCTACTTTTTAAATGGAAATTTTTGGGGTCGTCTTATACACCCCGTCGCTTTGTAGGCCGATATATACGGTATACAATTTTAAGTTTGTTTGAATTAAGCTCACTTTGCGCTCACTAAATCCCTTATCTCTGAACCACATGGTTTATAAAAATGTTTGGTGTTAATGAATCAGTTGTTTAACTTCGAAGCTATTTATAACCAACTCGTTTGTTATTATTATTAGGGATTACTGTACATAGTGTTTACAGTCATTCTGTTTAAACCTGTTGTTCACCCTCTGTGCCTCGCTGTTATCCCTCGTTTAGTGATTATTTCACTTAATTTGAGATTTTTCAGGAAAGCAACCCCATTGTTAAATGAGGGATACCTTTATTATATTTGAATATTTGAATTATTTGAGGAGGAGTTCAGTAGAGGGTTTGGTATATAGCAAGTTCATTCGGAATAGAAAGGTGCTACTGGAATCAGAGGAGCGATATATAGAAGTTTGGTATAGAATGGTAATACAGGTACTGTATAATTCTCAAATATCATCACAATCAACGGAAGTTTGAGGATTAACTGAGTGTGTTGCCGAGCTGGCCCAGTGATACCAACTTTTCTAACTTGATATTGGTATTAAAGTTCTGTACTGAACTTTTCCACTTCAGCTTTATTTAGTAATTAAAAGTTACTAAAACAATTTAATAAAAACAAATTATTAAGAAATTATATTAATCCTTATTTTGATTTTCTCTTAGTCGATGATAGTTCAACTAATAGTACTCAATGACTCAATTGCCAACCTCCAGCTACTATTAGAAGGGTGATAGTTTCAACATTTATATTATATTTTCTCTATTTCTAAGTCGCATTAGAATTGAAATGTATTTAAAAAAATTTGTATGGGTTCTGATGTAAATTAACACTGTGGCGGCAACCACTCAGTCATGAATTATTATTTGACCGCAGTATTTGAAAAAGAGAGTTAGTAATAGAGGTTACCTGTTAATTTAAGATCGTGAATTTTTATTTCTTGAATTATTGCAACTCCACAGTACAGTACAGTACAGTACAAGGATAAATAAAGAGGAATTTTGTAGTACAAAGGTATGAAACTTACTGATCCTTTATAATTTTTCTTAGCATATAGCTCAGGCTTTGCAGATTAGCAGTGCCTAACAGCCCAGGCATGTCCAGACTAAGGCTGGGTATGTGATTTTCATGTCCATGTGATGTGCCCTGCACTGGTCCCTGACAATACCTAGATGGGAATATGTCAAGGGCTGCATGACCCTTACTCACTATACATGTTAAACCAGTGAAGTCATCAGTGTGCCAGGATTAGTGCCTATGTCAGGGAATTTACCTTTACATTAAGCCGACAATCTGCCTTGAGTCCGTTGGTCAACTTGTCAACCATTCAAAGAAACCACCAAGCTCAGAGGCTGTAGACATGAGGTGACACGAGTTATGACCTTCCATGACAAGTGTTATCTCCACTGACACCAGATTATATTGGGGGGTGATCACAGGTGCTGTCATTGCCCCCTACATATCCTGCAGGTGTGAGGTAAGAAGGCAGAGTTATGACCTCACATCTCAAGGGTTGCTGCCTCTGACACTGTTTAGATGGAGACAAGTGATCTGTGAGTTGATTCACACAATAAATTTGCATGTTTTAAGATATTTATTTGACTTTTTCAATAACAAAATCTGGGCAAGTAAATATTGCTTATAAGCTGCACAGCCTGGTATAGGTACTCTAAATATTTAAGCTGTTATGAATTTATATCTTCAAATAAGATTGCCATGTTTTAATCTGTGTTTTTCATTTACAGGAAACTCATTTAAGGAAATTTAAGGGGGAAAGGCTTGGTGCCCAGCTATGTGAACTACATAAGGCTGGCTTCTAAACTGAGCTGTGGAGACTATAAGGATATGAAGTTATGACAGCTTGAATGAAAGCTGTTGTTTACTCAGCTTAGAGTCTATAACTTCTTTCATTATATAACATGAATTTGTTAATTTAAGTGGAATAAGAAAGTAAAATGTATTAAAGAGATAGATGGTTTCAGGAAAGTTGATTGCAGAATTATAAAGGGAAACATAAAACTGAAATGTTAGACTTGGATATAACTAAGGAGAGTTGTTTTCTGTCTTCTGTCTCTGTAATCTGATTGAATAAATAGATGCTAAAAGTTCACTTGTACAATAAGGACTCAGATGAAAGGTTGTATGAAAATGGTTAGGTTTGTGTAAATCTGAAGTATACTGTAATGCTTCTGTCACATCTATGACTACAATCTAGTCACTTAATGTACTTACTCATAAAGGTCTCATAATGATATTAAAAACACTAAGTCACTTTTGTGGGCATTTTCATTCAAGGAATGTTGCAAGATTACACGTGTCACCATCATCAACATTTTACGGCCATTTACCACTCTTGCTTGGGTTATCTGCAATTACCCGATGATAGGAATTACTGTACTTGATGGCAGCTGTTATGTAAAGCCATAATATGCTCATCCCCTCTCCCCCTGGACACCAATCCAGAAAATACAGTAGATAACAGAGGATAGGCACAGTTCTGATGACTTAATTGCCTTTAGGCATGTTGAAGAAAAATGTTATAGCTGGATTCCCTTCCTAATGTCAACATGTTGGGTGTGAAGATAGAAAATATAGTTCATGTAGAAAGTTGTGAAAATTAGAGTATTCTGCATTTGACATTGTAAGATTCCTTCAAAACATACCTGTATTGTCTTGATTTAATGAACAAATTTGAGCCGCCCCTGTTCGTTAAATCAATCTTTCCGCCAAATCAATCTTTCCGCCGCTCAGCCTGTGTCCTGCCGCCACCGCGTGTGTTGTTCACTGCTACCTCTCACTCAACTAAGTACAGGAGCTCCCCAAATTCGCGGGGGTTGAGTTCTCAAAATGGCTGTGAATCGACAAATCCGCGAATAAGAATTGTGGACCGAGGGGGGGTTACATTTTTACTTGTGTACAAAGAAATGTATTTTCCCTCTACAGTGGTCCCTCGGTTAACGAGCACAATTCGTTCCAGAAGGTTGCTCGTTAACCGAAAAATTCGTTAACCGAAACCAGTTTCAATGGGTTTTGGGTAATTGGTTCCAGCTCACTGAAAATTGCCTAAAGTCAACAAAAAAGGTAGTAAAGTACTCTTATTTTGAGGTGTGTATGTAGAAGGCTCCTGGATGATGATGATGATGTGAATTTGAAGTGGGAGGTGGAGGAGGAGAAGGGAGAAGAGAAGGAAGTGGAGGTGGAAGACAAGCATTTTACTGCTTCTTGGAAGGTGAGTCACCTTCCATAAAAATGTCAGGAACCTCTGGACTGACAGATTCTCCACCAGCAACATCCTCTCTCCTTGAAGTGGAGGGCTGAGGGCTAGCATCTTGTTCCCTCTGCCTTTTACTGATGTTTGAAAAAGGAGACCACTGTGTCCTCAACATTACACAAAGCTAGTTCTGATTTTTCCACATCTGGGTGCCTTGAAGCCAGTTTCCTGAACTTCTCCCAGTGGTCAACATCATCTTTCAAATCTGAAGTTGACATATGGTCATCACTCTCCTTTTCCTCCTCACCACTGTCAGCCTCTAACATCTCATCCAGTTGCTGCAAGTCTTCAGGAGTAAGTTCCTGCTCATGAGACATCACAAGCTCTTCTACATCATCATCATCCTCCACTTCAAGGCCCAATGACTGACCAATGGACACAATCTCCTGGTGCAACTCTGCTTCTTCCTGAAATCTCTCAAAATCATGGACTACTGATGGCCACAGTGCTTTCCATGCAGAATTGAGGGATCTAGTGGAGACTTCTTGCCGTGAGGACACAATCAATTTAACAGCCTCCAGGATGTTAAATTGTGCCTTCCAGAACTGTGCCAGTATTAGTTCAGGATCAGTGGAAGTTGCCTGATGACACCTGAACATTTTCTTCATGTACAGCTTCTTAAAGTTGCTGATCACATTCTGGTCCATTGGCTGTGTGATTGATGTAGTGTTGGGAGGCAAAAACAACACTTTGACAAAGTCAAATTGAGACTCCAAAGTGCTGGCAAGTTGAGGGTCATGACCAGGGGCATTATCCATAAGGAGAAGAGCCCTTTAAGGGAATTTATTGGTGGTTAGGTAGCTCTTCACAGAAGGGCAGAACACCTCAACAGCCCATTCATTAAAGAGCTGTCTTGTTACCAATGCCTTACTGTTGGACTTCCAATAAACTCCAAGCTGTCATCTTACCACTTTTTGTTGCTTGAACACCCTGGGGTTCTCAGAGTGGTAGACAAGCATAGGCTTCAGTCAGAAATCCTCTGTAGCATTGGCACCAAGCAATAGAGTGAGACGGTCTTTCATTGGTTTATGCCCAGGTAAAGAGGCTTCATCTCTGGTGATGAATGTCCTTTTGGGCATTTTTTTCCAGAACAGCCCAGTTTTGTCCACTTTGAACATTTGCTGTGGAAGATAATTTTCTTCATCCATCAGTTCTTTAAACTCCACTAAAAATTTTGCTGCTCCTTCCTTATCAGCACTGGCAGCCTCACCATGCCTAACAACACTAAAAGTGTCACTTCTTTTCTTAAATTTTTCGAACCGGCCTTTGCTGGCCACACAACGTAAACACCTAGAAAAAGTGCAAAAGAGGGCATGCAAGATTATTCTCTCCCCTTCCTACTCCACATATCAAGAAGCGCTCAACACACTGACTCTTTCGACTCTCACTGACCATCACCACGACCTCATCTGCAAATTTGGTAAGAAGCTTCTGCACCATCCTCGATACCGGCTCCTACTACCACCTGAGATCCCTAGCCCAATAATTGCTGTTCGATACCACAACCGCAGCCAGCCCATACGTGCACGAACTGATCTCTATAAGAACAGCCCAGTCCCAACCATTGTAAAAATTATCAATAACTTGTAATAAACCAGTGTATTCACTCCCAGTAAATCCTACTTCTTGCACTGTTACTATGTTGAAATGCCCTGTAGTTTGAGCTTTTCCCTATCTAGTTATTATATATCTTATATGTATCACTTATGTTACTTGTATATTATTTGTAAATCGAAACCCATTCCCCAATTATGTAACTGTATATTTTCCGCCTTCTGGCTGCTATGCTCTTTCAATAAACCGTTAATTATTATTATTATTATTATTATTATTATTATTATTATTATTATTATTATTATTATTATTATTATTAAACTCTTCAAATTCTGTGCCTGAAGAACCAGGTTGATCTGTCTTTAAATGTTCATAAATCTCCCTGGCTCTTTCACAAATAAATTCGGTCGAAACTGAATCACCTTTCATTTGTTTTTCCCTAATCCAAGTGTGAAGTAACCTCTCTGTTTCTGCTATTATGGATCTACCTCTAAACACACTGGAAGATTTGTCTCTCACTTTCACTTACTGTACTAGAATTTGTCTTTCTGTGCAAGAATTGTCGACACAGTTGATTTTGACATGCCATATTCTTTGCCAAGCACATTTGTTCTAATGCCTTCTTCATGTTTCTTAATAATTTCCTGTTTCACCTGGATTGAAATCGGTTTTCTTGATCTCTTGGAACCCATGCTGGATTCAAAAACAATTTCAACACGTGATATTTTAAGTTTAATTGCTGTAAATAAAGAATATTTTCTTTAATTCAACACTGCACTGTGCTATATATCATCAATATGTAAAATAAATTTCAAAATGACCAATAATTTCACTGTAAAAATGGAAAAAATCATTTATGCTGAAGAGCGTCTGAAGCAAGATGTTACCTCCACTGAAAAGACAGAGAATGACACCTACTTGGTGTGTTGACAGGCTGTTTGGCGCGCTAAAACTAGTTTCCCTGTATTCAATTATGTTAAATAATTGTTAAAATGACTCAAAATTTGAATATAAGACTTAAAATTATTGAATTGTACAAACTTCTTGATGTTTGCTAAAATAGTAAGGAATTTAAGCCCTAGAACCGATTCCTGCATTGGCGGACTAATACGACAGCTACTGTGCAAGCGAAAACATGTTGAGGGGCGCTCGTAAGGAATTTGTTAATCGAGGGATTGCTCGTTAACCGAATGAAGAATCTTATGGAAGGTAATTCGTTAACCGAGGGATCACTGTATGTGTTTGTCCTCAGGACAATTATTTCTTTTACCTGTATTGTATATATACAGTGGTCCCTCGGTTAACGAATACAATTCGTTCCACAGTCATTCATTAACCGAATCCATTGTTTCTAGGGGATATTGGGTAAATGGTTCCAGCTCACAGAAAAGTACATACAGAGTAAAAAAAATATGCAGTAAAGTACACTTACTTTGAGGTGTGTATGTAGAAGGTTCCTGGTTGGTGATGATGATGAGAATTAGAAGTGAGGGTGGAGAAGAAGGGAGAAGAGAATGAAGTGGGGATTGAGGAGAAATCACCTTTCAGTGGACCCATGCTTGATGCAGTAATTTCACCAAAAATTTTTTTAGTGCACTAGGTGTAATTCAAGATTACTGTATTTTATTTAAATCTACACTGCACTATTTATCATCAATATGTTAACTAAATTTCAGAATGACCAATATTAATGTAAAAATGCAAAAATATTCAAGACACCAACAAAATCGATGTTCACTCCACTGTCAACTAAGCCACACTGACGCCTGGTGGCTAAGTCAAGCGGCTGATGGGCGCACAAAAAACTAGTTCCCTGTACTGCATATATTATCAATATGTTAACTAAATTTTTAATGACGAATAATTGTAAAGTCAGTTCTGCTACAGGGCGATAGTTATGTTCCTGTAAAACCTCACGTTGTAGAAATTCGCGCAATAGAAATAACAGGGCTTATGGAGAAAATAGGTTTAGGTGCAGATTACTCAAAATCGAAGAAAAAAATTAGTAGTGAGCCTAACACAAAATATCCTTTTTTGCAAATTTAGCTATTCCGTTGCACGCACAATATCACAGTCTACCCTCAAGTCCGTGCTTTAATAGTAAAGTAATAAAGCACGGACTTGAGGGTAGACTCACATTTTTAATAAATTTGTTTCTAATTATTTGTGAGAGGATTTTCCAATTACAGTATTATTTATTTGTATGTGTTTTATGTGTGTGTATCTACATGCACACACACATATTTACAATACAGGTAAAGGAATTTACTGTCTCTAGAACAAATGGCTCCCTGTCCCAGCCACAAAAATGACGGAAACTTTAAAGCTGCCTACAGACATTCTTGGGTACATCCAGGCTGTCATCCGTGAATAATAGAGGACCATGAAATAAAAATCTGCGAACTTAGGAGGCCCCCTGTGTACACTGGACCACCTTAGCTTTCGTCTTT